GCATGCATTTTAGTTTGTTTACAATAAATATTTTCTTTAGTAATGCTAGTTCTGTTGCTAGGAGAATAAAGTTCTGAGTGTGTGCGTTTATAGCATGTTTGTGTATCTGTCACATATTGACTTGTTTGTTTTAATGTGGAGTTGTTATTTGAGGATATAAGTGGTCAATTATTGACTTAAAGTGATGTCTCTATTGGTGTGAAAATGTTTTTACTTGTATTTTTTCAATAGATGTGGATTCAGCTTTTAAAGAATGGGAAGGTTTTGTTCAGGTGAAAGAAGTACTTTCTGGTGGATTTGTCCAATTTGAAGCGACATGCTATGATTTTTACAGACCTAACATTCCATTTTGTTTGTGGAAAGGAAGATACGGTTTTCATTCTTTAAAAGGAATCTCAAAAGAGGTTTGAAGCTCAAAAGTTACACATAAATTTGTCTTCTACAGCTAAGAATATGTAAGAATTCCTCTCCAGGAATGCCTTTCTTAAGAAATTATACTAGTAAATCTATTTTTAGACCTAGACTTTTAACTAAAGTTTCGATAAGTTTGTGCGGGATAAACGGGGATATACTGGATATTAAGATTTTTTTATAGGAGAAACTAGGTTATGTATGGTTAAAGTGGAGTCAGTTTGTATAATAGAATAAAATTTTATAAGTTTATCTACTACGTTTGAATCATTTAAATATATATATATATATATATATATATATATATATATATATATATATATATATATATGTATAAATATATTTATGTATATATATATATATATATATATATATGTATAAATATATATATATGTATATATATATATATATATATATATATATATATGTATAAATATATATATGTATATATATATATATATATATATATATATATATATATATATATATATGTATAAATATATATATATGTATATATATATATATATATATATATATATATATATATATATATACTTTGGAGAATAACTTTCGGGAAAGCGTCAAAACAAGGATCAGCTAGAGATGGTATAAGCCAGTTTGGTGTAGAACTTTATTCTAAAAGAATTCTTAAGAATACTGGACACATTTCTAACTATGAAAATGTGCAAGTACTAAAGAGGGTTGACAACCAATTTAAGAGAAACTTCATAGAAATGTGCTACATCCATAACTGCAGTTCTTCTATGAACTGTAAGAAAGATGTTGAAAACTTAAGTTGTATTTATTCATTTCTACTTCAACAGGACTTGACAAGATGTAACAAACTGGAGAATGTAGGGAACTTATCATAACATACATAGATTGCCTACCCGTACTTGAGAAAAGACTCCATTTCCCTGCTGATTGTGTTTCCTGGGGTTCTTTCTTTCCATATCCATGAGGTTCTAACGTGAAAATTATAACCTCCTTGCATATGTCACCCGGATATTGACAGAAGTCAGAAATATGTCATCAAAAAAGAAGAATAATTCTTCTTTTCTACCTTTAACATGAAGTTGCAGTTTTTGTGTAGGTTGTAATTTTTAGATTTTTGTTGTGTTTGTATTTTAAATAATACCCTGTTGTGTTGTAATGTTTTTATTCAAAATTTTAAATGTATTTTTTAATATTTTTAACATGTTTGTGACAGTGTTCTACACCTCTAGGACCAACTGAACATTTTCAATGTAGGTTTTATATGTTAATTTCCACCACTTGTACTAAAATAGGTTTTCCATTTAGGTGCTGATGAAGGTGACAACATATCACCGAAAATTTCACATTTAGAATAAAGTTCTACACCAAACTGGCTTATACCATCTCTAGCTGATCCTTGTTTTGACGCTTTCCCGAAAGTTATTCTCCAAAGAATTGTATTCTTAGCGTCGTTATACAAACTCTATTTATATATATATATATATATAATATATATATATATATATATATATATATATATATATATATATATCGCACACCTAGTTCAATAGTGCCACAAGTCCAAAATACAATTATTTCGAGAAATGAGCAAAACGTTCTGTAGCAAACGAGTTATGCCTTATAAATAATTTATGTTTAGAATGACTGGCTTCAAAATTACAATTTAGTTAGCAAATTATACAGTTATTCGCTGGATCTTATTACAATTTATTAAAAATAAAACGTTAATTGTATTTTGATAGTTATGGCGATATTGCATTGTGAAGAAAGTCATTTATAAAACGATAAATAGGAGATACGGCGGCAACATAATAAAAAAAAATCAACTAGTTCTTACAAAAAATATTTTTATTATTATTATTACAAGTGTGTATGAACATTTTTTTTAATTACTATTAACCAAGTGCTTATAAAAATTGTGATGAACAGGTAATATTAAGTTTTTATTGCACAGTTCCAAAAGGTGTTGCTTGGTTTTTGCGGATATCGATGGAGGCTTTATGTACGCCTTTTTTAAATCGATTACTGCTTCCACAGTTGCTAAACGCCCCCTTGTCGATGCTTTAAAATGGACCTCGTCGAACTCATCGGCATTATATTCTGTTTTATAGAAGAAAGATCCAGGATTGCTTTTGATAACTTTAATAACTTGGATATCATTCCAGACTACCTTTTCATCTTTTGTATTCTTTATAAAATTTCCTCCAAATTTTGGATTGAGATCTTTAAAGTCATATAAGTCTTCTGTTGACATTTTTTTTACATTGTAAGGATTTCCTTCTTTTTTTGCAGATCTTATGATGGCAGGCCACTGTGCAGGAACATAAATGGGACCTGTTTTAAGTTTTTCTTCTTTTGCCTCTCAATAGTTGCGTGCATGGCGTCCCCTTCATTTTGGGTATGTCCCACTGTTAAAAATTTATGTGTGATTGATTTAACATTAATTTTTCCAATTGCATAGAGATACATGGTAACTATAAATTTATTTTTATTTTGCCCAACAAAATTGTCGCTATAAAATATAACGTCTTTATCATTACAATGATTTGAAAGATAATCAAACAGACACGTAGCTAATTCGTTTGAGCCGCGGTTAGCAATAGCCTCGTGCCAAAAGTAACAGTAACCAGTCTTTTGCAATATCTGAAAAATTGTAAAGTTGAAGCAGTTCAGGCGGCATTTATAGTAGAGGCTTGAAACATCTCCACAAGGTGTAGGAAGGATCGTCTGCAAATCAAAACAAGCTACCAATACTTGAGAATCATCTTTTGCTCTTGCTAGATCTTGTGCTTTTTCTTCTCTGCTTCTAATTTTATTATGGATATGTTTATTATAAGTTTGATGAAAAGTAGCTTGCTGTTCAGCAGAGGAATTTTTATATGATTCACAAATTGTGCACTGATCTTTTTTTGGCTCAAAGAAAGTTATGTTAAACTCAGTTTTAAAAATATGCTCGTAAGTGCATTTTTTAGCCACAGGCCTTCCTTCACTCTCTTCCTGTAGTTTGTAGTAGCGATACATTTGAGCTAAAGTAAGTGAACCATCTATGTATTTCTTTGTAGTTTGTGCTCTAAGATAATGTGATTCTACCTTTTGGAAAGAATTTATGTGTTCTCTTATTTTATTTTTCACCGGTCCAGTAACTGTTTCTTGTTTCATAAAAATATACCTGCTCTATTTAATCATCTTGGCGAGGATCTGTATGTAGATTTTCTTGATCTTCAAATGTATTTGCGGTATGATTTGATTGCAAGGGTAACGCAACCGGAGTAAGCTAAAAAATTACGTACATTAAGCAAAATCTCACTGTGATTTTTGTTGAAATACTGTGTTTGATAATAAAGTTAATAATAATATCACTATACACTGTTTTCAGACTTTAAATCAAATAGTTTTGTACACTAAAAACGTGGATACCTCGTGCATAAATAATTGAGAACTGATAAAGTCGTACCACTAATCTAACAATTTTTGCAGTTGTGGCCGTATTGAATTACATCGGTTGTATTGTGGCGGAGTGTACTATCGCCATATCTCCTAGTTATGGCCATATTGCATTTCAAAACCCTACAGTGTAATACCGAAATATCTTACTTTATACTTATCCAAGACAATATTTCAGTTAAGGTTGTATTGCATTAGATGGGGTATCATATATGCAACCTTTTTAAAGCCTTAACTCAAAATTGGAATTTTTGGAGTTGTGGCAGTATTGAACTAGATGTACGATATATATATATATATATATATATATATATATATATATATATATATATATATATATATATATATATATATAGATCCTATTGTTGGAGGCTCTTGAGGCGAAACAGATGTTTCTGGGTTCGGGATCATAAATGCTTTCTCATAACCAAATAATTTGAGGCTGTCTTCGGCATGCAGTATAATTGTTTATTCTTTTTTGGGTACAGGAGTTTCGTTGATGTTTTTGCCTCTGTTAAGTATGATATCATTGAAGAATTGTTATTGTTTGGTGTATCTTGGATGTTGCTGATTGTTGAATCTTGTTGTGATATTATTGTGGAAAGAGCCGTTGGTTTGTTGATGTTTCTCGTGCTGCTTATATCCACATAAGCTGCACGTCAACTGTTGGTCACTTTAGATAAACTCAATGCCTGGTCCATACGATCGTAAAATTATTTTATAATAACTCTTTTTATACAATAAAGTTTTAAATCACTTTCCAATAAAAGCTATTAATTGGTCTTATGCTACAAAAACCATATCGGGTACACTAAACTTTTTAAACGATATGTATGTTCTTATATTCGTCTTTATAGGCTGCAATGTTAACTCATTGGTGGCTAGCGCTGCGCTTTACTCACAATAAAATTTAAAAATTTTAATTAAGAAACAAATTTACTTTATAAAACTATATTATACTTTATATTATTATTATTTGTTGAAAGTACATTTGTTTAAAGTACATCGGACTAAAAATCAATATGTTTAGGTAGAATCTACTAAAACTTCTATTTTAACCGTAAAAATCTTGTTCGATACGTTTTAATATTCCCATATTGTATAATAAATAAGAAAATTTAAATCTTTTTTATTTTTTATAATTTCAGATGAATTACGGATAGTGAAAGATGGAAAATATGGAGCAGAAAACCATGAGGTTAAAGGTGGATGGGATGGGATGGTCGGAGAACTTGTTCGACAGGTATGATATCAATTTCCTATTTTTTTTTTGTGTAAATATCTTACTGTAAAATTTAACACAAATAAGAAATGCATAGTGAAAAATGCCAAATGGAAGCCTATCGAAACAACTTTTTACCTTTTTGTATTTATCGTAACCTTTTATCAAAAAAACAATAAACAATATGTACACGTACACCCAGTATTGAGCAGTCTTTACCTATGTTTAGTTTAGATTACCAAATTTCTGACTTCAATACAATTAAGTTATTTATATCTAGTTTCCAGCAGTGGATAGATCCAGAAAATCCAACCTTTTTTGGTTGGATCTGAAGTTGGGTTGAACCCAACCTGGCTATGTTCGGAGGTCGTTGGCGAATGTATTTTGATGCGATGATAGTCTCTTGAAGGAATTTGTACTCTGAGCGACGGATACTTCATTAACAGATTAAATATTTGGGACATCGCGAAGGATTTTGAATTGGAACCTTTGTAGTCTTTGCACATTTGTATTATTGGTAGTTTCCCAGCTCGTACATCTATACCGGTCGTAGTATAACCCGATAAAGAAAAAGTTGGTTTTGGATAATTTTGGATTCATAAACCAGTTTGAGAAAAATAGATTTGCACCACATTTATTTTTTCGAATTTAGGTAAACTATAAGGATACCCAGATACTTAACATCGTCCCTAGTAAGTAGTAGTTTTCAATTTATAGATGCCAGAGGGCAGTTGTCTCTTTTTAACGTGAAGTGTTACCCTCTTCAGGTAAATTTTTTAGTATTAAACCCGTGAAAAGATCGTTACTATATGCTTTCTTGTAGAATTTTACAATGACTTTTGTGATTTCATAAATTGTTATTTTTGTGATCAGTTTACTTGCCTAATATAGGGTATCCAGTAAGTCTAAAAAGGGTTTTTTGTCATCTGCATGAGCTTGTTTTTGATAAGGTTGAAATACAGACATAAGAGGCTTGTTTTGTTCGTCTTTTCTGAGTTTGTCGTTGGGATTTCAGTGACATTGTCAGTTTCCACAGTAAGTCGTTTTTATTTTTACTTACAGATATGTGTTTCAAAAAATGTTTAATGCCAGCATCTTTGTATTCGATTAGTGTTGTTCTCATATTGCTCTGATTAGATATGTGTGTTCTGTTGGAGCCCAAGTACTTTGCCATTTTTTCCTTTTTCACGAATCGTATTGTTTATGATATAGATATACTCCAGATAAGCCTATTTTTGTTTCAGGAGCTTTCTAAAGTAGCAGCCTAGGCAGCTCTTTGGATTAACGTAGTTAGTTTTGTGTTGCATTTTTTTATGGATTTAAGTAGCAGATTCAAGTTGATTGACTAAAAGACCAATTCACTGAATATATTCCAGTTTGTTATTGTCTTGGTTATATTGGCTGTCTGTTTATGTGCCTTACGTCTATGTCTACATTTATGAGAAAAGAAGAGTGATCAGAAGACCAATCAAGTTATGGTTGAATATTTAAGTAATTCGAAGCGACGCCATTTATAACAAAGGAGCCAGTAGTATCTGGTATTTTTTACCTATCAATAGGGCTGTACGTAGGCTTAACCCGGGACAAATTGCTAAGCTTATTTATTATGGATAAATAAGCTTATTGCAGCAATTTGGATAAAGTTCAGCCGTGTATGGTTATGATCTTTGTTCCCCATTGATGATGCTCAATTGAAAACGACAGCGGCGACGAATTTTGTTGTGTTTTAAAATAAGTAGTAAACTTATTTTTTTTTTTAATTGGTTGGTTTTTTAGGCGATAAAAAGCAAATTAGATCTGTTGTCCATGACAGCCTTCTATTGCCATCGAGTAACTTGTATATTTAATTCTCTATTTATGGTGTTCAATATTATTGCTTACTATTATTGCTGTCCCGCCATGAGCTTTGCGTTAGAAATTTTCAGTGGAGTATGTTTGATAATTTTGAAACTAAGAATAACTTTAATATGTGACATGTGTCTCAGAAATTAGAATAACGTCAATGTTATGTTGGGAAATAATTTTTTTACTTCCTGGTTATGGATTGTCAAGATGTTGACGTTCCAGTCTTCAATCTTTAGATTTTTAAACATTTCGTTTAAAAATAGATTCATCAAGATGTTAAATATTTTGTTGATCAAACAATTATTGAAAAATAAAATGGTATAATAGAGTATCGAAAGACTTGACAAAGAATTTAAAATTATACAAAATAAGCGAAAACAGTTTGTTCAACCGGTATTTAAACGTTTGTTCACCAAAATCTATATTATTATTTTATATTTGTGAACTGGAAATGGGCTGGACACAATAAACGTCTCCAAGACGGACGATGGAACAATGCCATGGAAAAGTGGCGTCCATACAATGCAAAATGATCAAGAGGCAGACCACAGATAAGGTGGAAAGATGACATCAGTAAACAAGGAGGTTCCACATGGCAGAGAACAGCTCAAGATAGGGAAAGATGGAGAGAGCTGGGGGAGACCTATATCCAACAATAGAAGGATAGAGAATAGGTTCAAAAAAAAATTGTGAACTATCGATGTCCATTTAATAGGGTTCTTCTTTGGACTAAATATTCAAGATACCAAATTTTTAGACTCTATGTACAAAATTTCTAGAACTTCTTCAAAAAGTTATCTCACACAAAGACGAGATGTAAAATAAACAATTAGAATAGACAGGCAGAAAGACAACACAATAATATGATTTTAAGAAGAATCTGTCAAGCCCTTAGCAAATATTGTTAAATTTTTACTGACGAAATATTTAAAATTAAGAGAACTTGGCAGATTTAATATTAACGTAGCTATTTCGAGATTAGAGCATGGCAACTGATCACATTAAATCAATTACTAAACGTACCTACTCAGAGGCAAAAACCAAGATCCGTGAAACTTACTTACAAAAATACACACACACACACACACATACACACGCGAAGCGTTCAACCCAACCCCTAGTGTCATGTGTATACCACTGCTAGTCAGTGGGATCCACATGACCGAAGATCAAACCGGTCTCGCTTCAGAAGAGCTAGTCATTCTGAATCGGTACCTATCTGACCCCCAGGTTTTTCCTCCACCCCTTTGCTACGTGTGACATACGTAACAAAGGCTTATGAACTTTACGTAGGGCTATTTGGGTAATGAACAAAACCCTACGTATCGACATGGTTGTGGTTAAGCCACCTGAAATTGAGGGGTAGCTAAAAGCTTTTCTCCCTAGTTACTTTACTGAATTTAATTTGGTACGAGCATTACTTTGGACCTGATGTCCCTAAAGAGTGTGTGCCCCCACACGGAGAGGCACCAACCTAGATTGGTGCCCCTCCGTGCAGGGAAATGTGTGTGTTCGGGCATTCAGCTGCCGATTTGGCAAAAGTTAATTTGTTCTCCTCGTCAGCTGAACCCCCGATCAGTCTGGCCATCGAGCCCATGCTTGCCGCGCTATGGCCTCGATGCTCAGAGGTCGCGTGCTGGTCTCCCAATTGGACCTGCCTTAAGGGCCTAAGCCAAATGTTGGCTGTACAAAGAGAACTGACGGCTCTCTTTGTATCTTGTTTGTGTATGTGGGTGTGCGACAAGGGTCAGTATCACACGAAGTTGATTATACCCGGATTATGAATAGATTATTCATTGACAAAAAATTGCGCTCGCGAAGGTTAGAAGGTGTTTTCCCGATTTTTCTATCTAATACTAATACTTAAAAACTAGATGATTTTTTTTTTGGTGAGTAAATTCTGTTGTCTGGAACTATAAAATGCCAGACCTCAGTCCTTACCCATTTTTTTTTTTTTTTTTTTTTTTTTTTTTTTTTTTTTTTTTTTCTACTTCTACCCCGCGTTGTTTTTGACTAGTCTGTGCCTATCTCAATCTGTATGTTTTATTTATGCTATGGGACATATCCGGCTATTTGTTGCTTAGGCCGTCTATGTGTCGTCCTGTCATTTGCGTCGTAGTCCGTTAGCTCTCTCAGCTTCCTGTTGGGGTGGTTTCTTATTTCATTATAGATATCAAAAGCTTTTTTGTTCATGGTATGTAGGATTTTTTCCTGCTTCGTGTCTCTATATAGATACCTTAGAGGTACGTATCTGGGTACATTCAGTGCGTCTCTAATTAGCTGGTTTTGTGCTACTTGCAGTTTCTTCCTATTTGATTTACATGTGTGTCCCCAGGCTGCTGATGCATATGTAAGCGTTGGAAGGATTATGCTGTTTGCTACCCTTATTTTTGTCCAAAAGTTTAATTTACTTTTCTTGCCTATTAGCGATGTGAGTTGTGTTTTAGTCAGCTTTGCTTTGTATACTGTTTGGTTTACGTGTTCTGTGAATGTGAGCTTGTGATCAAGGGTCACTCCTAGGTATTTAGCTTGATTGCTCCATTCTATGTTTTCGTTTGCTAGTCTTAATTCCGTATTGGGTAGTTGTCTTCTTTTCCTGAACATGACTGCCTGTGTTTTTTCCGGGTTTAGTGCTATTTTCCATTTTATACACCATGCATGTAGTCTGTTTAGAGAGCGTTGTAAGTCTCTAGTTGCGAAGTTTATGTTTCTATTACTAGTTGCTAGCGCTGTATCGTCTGCATACAGGCTGAGCAGTGTTTTATAATCGCTTGGTGTGTCTGCTGTGTATATGGTATACAAGTATGGAGATAACACCGCTCCCTGCGGCACACCCGCCTCCAGAGTTCCGACCTCGGATAGGGCAGGCCCTATTCGAACTCTGAATCTCCGGTTTGTCAGGTATGACGCAAGGAGGCATGTCATTGCCTCACTGTATCCATATTGGTTCATTTTGTAGAGTAGGCCTTCGTGCCATACTCTGTCGAATGCTTTACTAACGTCCAAGAAAGCTGCAGCAGTGTACATTTTCTCGTTGAAGCCTTTGGTGATGAACTCTGTAAGTCTAAGTACTTGCAATTCACATGAGTGTCTAGATCTGAAGCCGAACTGAGCTTCTGGAATTGTTCCTATTGCTTCCGACTCTGTTTGTAGTCGTTTTAGGATTATTCTTTCTG